CGTAGGCGCCCTCCAGGTGCCGCGTGATGGCCCTGCCCGCCTCGTAGCTGCGCCGGCCGTGCAGCAAGCGCCAGTTGTCGAAGGTGATCACATCGCCTGCCCGGGAAGAGAGAGCGTCGGCTTGAGTGGAGGTGGGAATGACTCACGGGGCCCGAGGCCTGGGGGGTTCTGAGTGCGAATCACTGCTCAACCGGCGCCCCTACCCCTGGATGTTTCTTTCCAGCTCAGCAGTGTCCCGAAGGACACCCTTCGTGTTTATGTGCATTGTATTCAAGACCCGGGCCCCAAGGAGAGTATTCGTTCATCTCCTCTTCGCACAAGAGGAAACGGAGGCCTCTGCAAGCCCAGGGGTTTCCACAAAGCTGCGCTGTCCTAAAGGGTGAGGCTTGGAGTCCGACTCCTCTTTCTTTTTCTTTTTGGTGTTTTTTCTTACGTTGTTTCTGTCTCACGTGTTGTCACTCTTATGATCAATCCATTGTGTCTACTGGGCAATAGATTTACGGATATTTCGCATATCAATTTATTATGGAAAAGATCAGTTACAAACAATGTTAGATGGATGCAGTAGTGCACTCTTGGGAGGCTGAGGCAGGAGGATCGCTGGAGCCCAGGAATGCAAAAACAGCTGGGCAATGCAGCAAGATACAGTCTGTTAAGTAGCATTTACAAGTAAAGAGAATCATCTATTTGGCCAAATTAACACCAGAAATAATGCCTTCTATTATACATAACAAAGTCTTCAAGTTTAAAAAATGTAATATGCAGCATGGTGAATGATAGTTAATAGTGAAATAGTGATGCATTGTGCAGTGGACCCTTGACTTACAAACTCAGTTCCTTCCCGAGGGCTGGTTGTAATTTAAGTTGGTCAGAGAAGGCTCAGGCTCCTCTACACAGCCTCCAAAGTCTCTCTCCTGCGCACAGGTGGATTTCAGTGTCCTTAGAGACACCAGCCCAGGTTTTCTCAGTGAACCCCACACAGGACAGGACGCTGTCGTGTTCCTCCCAGAACTCTTTAAGGGTGAAGTCTGTATCTGAGCCCATCTGGAAGCACAAGTTTTCAGCACTTGGGTTGTAACTCAAGACTTAGGTTGTAAGTTAAAATTAGAATTCCAGACATAATCCAAGTTGTTTGTATGTCGGGCCAGTCAAAACTCAAGGGTCCACTGTATTCTTTTGTTATTTGTTAATTTTTGTTTTTCAGCGCTGGAGACTATCTTAGGCCTGCATACTGAGCTACATTTTTAGTCCTTTAAAAAAAATTCTTTTTTTAAGTTTGGAAACTGGGTCTCTCAGTAAGTCACTAAATTGCCCAGGTTAGGCTTTAATTTGTGATTGTCCTGCCTCAGCCTTCCAGGGTGCTAGGATTATAGTTGTGAGCTACCATAGTTATATTTGATAAATATATACAACTCTGTCAATTAAAACTACAAATAGAAAAGAAAAGGTTCAAGTTTGGTGGCACTTTATGTATTAAAATGGTCTAGAAAAAAATCCAGTAAGTTGCATGAATACTGATTACCAGATATTTTAGGGTGAGAATCATGAGCATAATTGTCTTGACTAGGACAGTGTAATCAAGTACAAGCCTCAGGCTGTATGGGTGGGCACAGGATAGAAATACAAAGTATATATTTTTTTGGTAACAGGGATGGAACTTGGGCCCTGTGCCTACTAGGCAGGCAGTACCACCATTCAGCCAAACCCCCGGCCCCCAAAGTATCAGTCCTATCATCAGACATGAGATTTATGTGGCCTGCGGTTTGTCTTCCAAGTGTTTGTTATTGGGGTTGGAGACTCTTAAAGTGTGGAGTGCTGAGGGTTCCCGGGGGGCTTTATTTTTCCATCGAGCAGCCAGCAGGGATTATGGGGCCAGGAGCCCACAATTAATTCAGAGTCAGTGGACCCCAGGGCTCCCCCGTTGTCAGACCACTCTGCCCCTCATTCCAGGGGAAAATCCCTCCTCTCACTGTTTTGAAGAACATAGGCACTGACCTGGGTTCATCTTGAAGGTGAACTTGAGTTCTTTGCTGTTCATGAGGTCAACAAACTCCCTGAGAGCAGCGTAGAAAGGCTGCACCCGCTCTACCGGGATGTCGAAGATCGTGTCTCTGGTTGCATTGTTGAAGTTGATGCGAGTCACCTGGCCTTTATCATCCAACCTATTTAAGAGAAAAGTTAGAGTGTGTGTCGCAGCACACCTGGCTGTGTGTGTAAAGGCTGTTTCCTTGTGAAGGTAGCTCCGAAATATAAAAGTAAAGACTCTGAACCCACAGGGGAGGCCTTAGGGTCTTAGGGTCACCTTCGTTGCAGCGTGTCCTTTATTTCTTCCTACTTACTCATTTGTGCTTGAACTCTCACTACATCCGTGCCTGGAGGAGTCCACTGAGATGAGCACAAATGGCACTGAGAGACTCAAGTTGAAATTCCTGTCCTGCTTAGTGAGATTCGTTCTTTAGAACAGGTTTTACGCATTCAATTCTTTTCTGTACCCTGCAGTTTGTATGAGGTGTGATCAAAGACACAGGGGATGTTTAAGTTGAAAATACTTATCGCCATAAATGACACATTATCGCCCATCCCCTCGCCATGCGCCCCCTTCCCTTGGAACACACTCGTCCCGTCATGCCCGCCACTTTCTAAAGCAGCTCTGGATGTGCTCCTTCGAGTGTCGTTCGCTGTGCTCTCGGCTGACTTATCCGGAGCCAGCTCCAGAGGATCACCTATCGCAGTCGTGTGGGCCGTGGGAAGAGCCCGCCCTCCCATTGGGTGGCACACGGCAACGGCATTCACCACTTTTTTGATCATACCTCATAAAGACTCGAAAGAGAACTTGTAGAACTGCTTCATAGAGGGGAAAAACAATGGGTTGAGTGTATTTGAAGACGTGGATATTTTGAGAAGGATTGATAGCAAAGTGTCATTTATTGTAATAATGTAAAAACATTAAACAACCATATAATTTGATCACCCCTTGCAAACGACCTCTAGGAGACTGGAACTGTTGTGTCCTTTTCAGCATTATATTCCTAGCACCTAACAGACAGTCTGGCTGAAACAGGTGGTAAATACCAGTTTCAGGTCCACTTTGAATATTGTTCCCAGCCTTGGGAGAGCACCAAGGACTCAAGAACCATGGGAGACCCCAATGTTGTGATTTCTATACTTTCTTAGGATATGGATTGTAACCATAACAACAAAAGATATTAGAGCTTTCAGTGCAAGAAAAATTAGCACCCTCCTCAGAATTGAACTGTGCTGTTATAATTAGCAAGACATAGGCTTTGCCCAGATTTGGAGGCAAAAGGAGGAGACATTTTTTAGCTTTTGGGGAAGGGAGAGTTTCAGCCAGCCCTACAGTGCCAAGCAGTGTGGATTTTCTTTCAGTAGAAACAGCAGGGTGGATGACACTGAGAAAGAAAGAGGTTGAGAATGGCTGTGAAATGCCTGGGGCCTCTCAAGGAGGGTTGGTCCCTGGGCCAACCCAGGAGGTGGTGATGGGTGTGCTGTCGTTTTTTTTTTTTTGTTTTTTTTTTTTTTGGCACCAGGGATCCAATTCAGGACCTTGCACTTGTGAGGCAGGAGTCGACACCCCTGAGCTAAATTCCTGGCCCTAGGAGGTGATAATATGGCCAGCAGCTGTGTGGCAGCCATAGGTGGGGGTCTGGGCTTGGTTCCAGGACTGAGGGATGTGTGCCTGGACTGGGTTCAGGACCACTCTGGGCTGATGGGCCACCCAGAGAGAGAGACCCACTGTGAATGTCACAGCACAGGAGGGTGCTAGGACCAGCGAGCAGGGTCCTGTGCTCCTAGTGGGGCTGCTGCTGGGACAGTGTCCCCTTAGGGGTGATATTATGCCTCATGTGAGGGGAGATGTCTGGTTTTAAGGGACTTCTTGCATTTGTTGTAGGGATGCCACTATGGCGTTGTCACATTTTTTTGAGGCTCTGTAGGAAAAATTTATTTTGGACTTCAGAGGCATCTTGAATCTTGTAAATGATTCAATATTTCTTTCCTTGATTTGGCTTCTAGATCCTGAGAACTGAACTGAACTGGAAATCTATCACAGGTAAATCGCTGGGCTTTTCAGAAATTGCAGCAAGCTAAAATATATTCAGTATTTTTTTTTTTTAATTGAGTTTATTGGTACATTTAGGGATACAGTACAGTTACATTCATTGTTGGGATCATGTACCTTTACATGGCAAGTCTTGATTCTCATTTTTTTCCCCTTACCTCTGCCCTCCCTTCACCCCCTCCTCCCCTCCCCATCTACAAACACTTTATTTTCATCTTTTCATTCTCTCACATTTTTTTCTTTTCCCTTTTTGTTCTTCCCCTACGTATCACACCTTCCCTACACCTTTAGCTCCTTTCCTCCCATTTCTAAATGTCAGTAATCTTATTAGAATCTTATGCATTGTTGCAGAATATTCACACCAGGGAAACTATTTGGTATTTACACATGTGGGACTTATTTATTTCACTTAGGAGTATATCTTCAATATGTATCCATTTTCCTATGAATGAATCTATTCTCTCGCTCTTTATGGCTGAGTAATATTCCATTTTATAGAAAAACCACA